TATTGTTGGAATTGTTTTTTTATTATTAAAGATGATGTTTTCCTGTTCGAGTAGTAAATTCCTAATTTTAATGAGTTGTTTGTATCTATGACTTTAACTTGTTATTTATTATCCTTTTCATTATTTTTTCATCTGTTTTATATGATGAGGACATACTATTTTTATAATTTTTATGTTGTAATTGTCGTTTGTATTTTCATTGTTAAGTTGTTGTTCTTTGCGGTGAATTATTTTCTTTATTTGTGATAGTTTGTATCCATTATTAATTAGGAGATGGGTTACTCGTTGGAGTTCATTTTCTCTATCTTCGTAAGCCGAAGATAGAGAAAACGTTCTAACAAACGAAGAAAAAGAATTTCTTAATTTACGACTCAATTGTCACTTTATGAAAAAACCAAATATTATTGAAAAAGAAATCGAAATTGAAAAACTTATGAATAGTCTCAACAATCTCGAAACATTTGATTAACTTTAATTCTAATTAAGTAACAATCAAAGTCGCTGTGAAAACAAAGACACAAAGACGGATCAATACTATATAACTACACTGATGATGGCAGTTGATACTGAAAAGGGCTTTTCTGTTATAATAACGTTATTAATAAAGTTTTGTCAAAAATGTCAAATATTAAAAGTTTTTTATTTAACCTTAATAAACTTCATCAAGATGATAAAAGTCTTGTTAGAAAAATTGAGAAACTCAACTAAAAGTTGAATAATGCCGAAAACGCATCTTTATAAATAATTGTTTATATATATATATATATATATATATATATGATATATATATATATGATATATATATATATATATGATATATATATATATATTTTACAATATTCTATAAATTCTACCGAATGTTTGGCGTTAATATGTTTGTAGTTCGTTTTTTCGATTTTTCTCACTAAAGTTTTTTGGTGAACGTTTAGTTTATTAAAATTCAAAATAAACTTATTTTTCGAATTCATGCTGAAAATAAGGCCATATTTCGATTCCGAATGAATCATCGTCAGTGCTCCTTGTTGTATATATAGGGAAATATTGACTTTGTCAAGATTAACTTTGACGTTGTAAAAATTAACTTTGGTGTTGTAAAATTGAACTTTGATGCGAATTAGAATACATTATTAGAAAAACAACAACAACAACACACGTTTAGACGACATTTTCCCCGAGATCGGGGGTTGCCGTTTGGCTACCTATAATGAAACCATTGTCACTTCTGTCATCATAAGTAATTTATTTGGCTAATTTTTACGCAGGACGCCCTTCCTTACGCAACCACAGTTATAAGCGGTGGGCCTAGCCTTTGATGATCCAACATCACTCACAAGGCAGTGAGGGTCAGTTTAATGTCATAACCAGGACACAGAAAAACATTATTATTAAAAAAACAGAAAAATTAAAATTAATAAATAATACTATAGCGATAGAATTTAATAAAAATTATATATATGTATATATATATATATATATATATATATATATATATATATATATATATAATCAATATATATCATTGATGAAAATCACAGCAGGTTCGGCGTAAGTTAATTTTCTGTTTAACTTTTCGATTTTTATAACGGTTGATCTTAAATTATTTACAAGTTTTTTGAGTTCAAAACCAAAATTTTTGTTTATTTTATGCATGATAGAACAGAAAAGCTATGATAAATACATTTTGAATAATTTATCAACAAATTATTTGATGAAAACCAATGCCTAATGCATTGTAAACTATTATTAATCATTAAGTCATCAAAATTTCCATACAAATACAAGAAAGTATTCATTTTCTAACAGAGTGATCTCTATTTGGAACAATTTACCGACCTGCGTTGTTGAATCAGATACGGTTTTCAACTTCAAGAAGAATTTTGACTTATATATGGCCAACAAAGATTTTCTCTATTGCTTTTTGTTGTCTTTTAATGCTATTTTGATATGGGCATATATAACTTACGTTTAAGCCCATTATTCATTTATATTTATATATGTATATTTATTTATGTATCATGTTGTTGTTGTTGACCAAAATCAATTGATTGTTATGAGTAGATTTCTTGTTGTAGTTATTAGCCCAACAGAAACTTCAGTCGGTTTTGTCCAAAGATGAATTGGTTGAAGTTCTGTTGGGATATTGGGACAGTTAAAAAGATATTGGACATTATGAGAGCTGTTGTTACATGTCGTGCAAATGCTTGAGATGTTTTGGTTGATTTCGTGACAATTGTCTGATCTTAATTGTTCTAATAATCACTCTTGTTTTTCTAAGTAGTGTTTTCTATTGGATTGATAATAAAATTTTTTTCATTTGGTAAATTTGGAATGGTGTAGTTTGTATTTGATATTGCTTCTCTGATAGAGCTAGCGTCAAAGTGGTGGATGGTCTCTGGTCATTTGGGCATAGATGAACTGTTGAATGCTGCTTTGATATTTAGTTTGGAGGGTGTTCTTGATTTGTTATTCACTAATTTGTGGGAGGTGGGTATTGACATTGGAATAACAATGTGATGAAAGCAGGTTCATTTGTTGGATAATTTTGAGAATTTTGCATTCGTGGTGAAGATGTTCTTGCGTAGTGGATGTTGTGGCAGTCTGTCATGAATGAGATTATTAAAATTAAAAACAAATTTAATTTTGACAACATAAACTTTTCTAAGATTTTGGAGAGAGGTGAAAGGAAAGAGATGGGTCGGTAATCAGATCTATCCAGCTTATCGCCTTTTTGAAAATTGGTATAATCTTAACAGTTATGAAGCTATGAGGTAAAATTCCTTGTGATAACGAAAGGTTAAAAATATGAGTTAAGAGGCATTTATCTCATTAATTATATGCATCTTATTGCTGATATTTAACTAAATTTATCATTTCTGATCCTTCCACCAGTTCCTAACACATGCATTTATTTACTTTCTGCTATCATGAAAGTACAACCTTCATTAGTTTGTGTGAAGTCATTGCTAGTCTCTATTAAGGATTTGATAATGTTGATGTAATAGTTGTTGAAAGCATTGCAAATTTCTTCTTTATGTTCAACTAATAAATTATAGATTTTAATTTTATATATAATTATTGTAATCGATATTTTAATTAAAACGTTTTTATAACATCCCATTTACATTTAGCATCATTTTTAAAGCTAAGAAATTCATTTTTAAAGTATTGGTGTTCAGTCCATCCTTTATAATTTGTAAAGCTATTTCTAAAATTTTCATATATATTTTAATTATCAGAAGTGGAGTTGTCAATATATTTAAAAAAAATTGATAGCTTCGGAAGATGAAAAAAATATCCAACGAGATGAAAATCCAGAAGTTTAAAAAAAAATGCTGTCTCCCTGTTGCTATCAAAACATTGAGCATAACACATGCTTAGCTTCAGTTTGATAATTTTAAATTTTCCTTCATAAAATTAAGAATAACCTGCTAATTAAGTGGTAAAATTTTACCTAAAAATCTAAAAAAATTTTAAGGTAGAGCTAAATATAATTTTGAAAACCTTGTATGACAGAATTTTAAAAAAATGTATTTATTTCAAATCAGCAAAAAAAACGAATAGAAAACCCGTATTAGTAGCCAAAATGTAAATCAAAACATTTGTCAAAGTAAAAATTAAATTAAAAAAAAAGAAATAAAAAAAGTTCAAGTTATTCATTATTGAGCATTTTCAATTTTTAAGTTATGTTAAATGGAAAAGCGCTAGCCTGATCATCAAATGCCTTTTCTATATTTGGTCCACAAATACCTAAGTTTTCTTTCACTAGTTCGTCACCAATGTTAATTTGCTGTTTGAGTGAAATAGTATAAATATTAAATTTATTTCCATTTTATCAAACATACACCAAACCCAAAAATACAACTTCCATGTAATTTAATGGAAGCGTTAAAAGTTACACCGCAGAATACATTGTAAATAGTAGAAATGAAGTTTCAATAAAAAAATTAAATTGCAGTAGAAAAAATTCTTTAGATTTTTGTAATTGAATAATGAATAATCAGAACAAAAGTTTTCTTTTTATAAAAAAAAGATTATTAATAGTTTCATTTCAATGGGCAACATAATTACTATTGGCATCCCATCTTATAATTCACACATAAAATATTAATGAAAAAATAAAAAATTTTAAGGTTCAATTAGGCATGTTGATGTCTCTGTCATATAAAAATATTATTGATGTTTCGAATTGGAAACATTGAACCATTTACAATCATTTTCATAAACTTTTAATATTATATTGTCAGTTTTTATGATGATGGGATATATACTATGATGGGATGATAATGTTGTTGACAAAGGATGACGATATTGATATATGAAGATGAAGACGATAATATGGGATCAATATTCAATAACGACGGAATCACAGTATGAGGATGATGAGATCGATATATAATGATGATAATAAATGTGATAGTTGATATGTGATCGATATTATGGCTGTACAGCATTTGTGCCGGATTTTTATTTCGAAATTGTCCCCTATGTTTAGATACATACTACTTTTATGTGTATATTCATATCTACGCATGCATGTATGTATGCGTGTTTCTTATATATGTGAATGACTTCTTTGATGTGTATGGTCATTTGCAGATGGTGCCAAACTGTCTAGAATTATTAGATCTGATGATAAAGCTGTTTTGAGAAACGGTGTGAATGATTTGAGTGAGCGGTGTTTAACCCTAGAACTACCAATGAGGTCCATTGGACCCCACAAAGGTATTTAGAATGATATATCTACTTTAATAATTTTTTTATTTTTTTTCAGCTTTTGTGACTTTTATTTATTAGTTTCAATGTACGTAAAAAGATAAAAAAAAAATCGAAAATATTTAATCTAGATATACTCGAAATTTAAATTCTGGCATCAATTACCAATGGGGGTTTAATGGACCCCAAGAGCAATATCATAGGTGTTTTTATTTTATAATCTTTTTATTTCATTGTTTACTTTGCTGCCATTTTGTATTGTATGATTTAATAAATTTTATAACGTGATGTCGAGATTTTCGTTGCCTCAAGCTTGTCAAATGGTGGAGGATGATAGTGATGAAGAGCAGCACGGGGATGGTTATGTTTCATCTTCTGATGACAATGAAGTAGAGGAAGTAGTTGAGTGGGAAAGTAAAGATGAAGAAAATGATGAAGATGACAATGAAGATACAATTGTTGACGAAAATATAATCATGCAACAAATGCAGATTTACAATTCTAAGAATAAACAAGTGCAGTGGCATGCTTCACCAAATAAAAATGTTCAAAGCTGCGTAAAAAGTTGTAATATAATAAAGGAAGCACTTGGTCTAACCTCCTACGCTAGAAATAATATTGACACCTTATCAAGCTGTTTTTGATGTTTTTCAAGCCTCAGTTGTTGAACAAAGACAAATGGAATCATATAGATGTTGCTGAGCTACACGAGAAGTGTTTGATTTGTGAAATTCTAGTTTGAAGGATGCATACAAGTTAGGTTCATGTGTGACCGTGGATGAGCAATTGGTATAATTCCGAGGCAGATGTCCATTTCGACAATATATTCCTTCAAAACCAGGAAAATATGGCATTAAATTTTGGGTGCTGTGTGATAGTAGCTCTAATTATGTTTGGAAAATAGATATATATCAAGGGAAAGAGCCAGGTGGAGTTAGAGAAGAAAATCAAGCGTCCAGAGTAGTTCTTGATTTGGTTGAAGGTTTGCAGTGTTCAGGGAGAAATGTGACATGTGACAATTTTTTTACTAGCTTGCCTCTAGCAGAAAAATTAATGAAAAATCAGTTAACATTAGTTGGTACTGTTAGAAAAAATAAACCTGGGTTGCCAGAAAGTTTTACTACTTCAAAAAAAGGGAAATATATTCCTCGTTGTTTGGCTTCAACAATAATTCAACAATTGTATCTTATGTAGCCAGAAAAATAAAACTGCTGTGTTGCTGAGCACCATGCATCATCAACCTGATGTTGACACAAACCATAAGAAAAAGAAACCAGAAATAATAAATTTCTATAACTCAACAAAATCTGGTGTTGATACTATGGACCAGATGACCAGAGGACACAGCGTGAAGAGAATGACAAGAAGGTGGCCTCTTATTGTTTTCTACAATATGATCGATATCAGTGCCCTCAACGCCTACATCATTTGGAATGATTTTACTAACACAGAGAAAGTAAACAGAAGAGAATATTTAATAAATTTAGTTAAAAAACTTGGCCATCAAGATTTAATGTCTGATAAGTTATTTCCATCAGTAGAACCATTAACTAAAAGAAGATGTTATTTATGTGATAGGAAGAAAGACAAAAAAAAACAAAACTTGCTGTGTAGTTTGTAAAAAAATGTTTGCGACGAACATTTGTTAAAAATTTGAAACAACTGTTATAAGTAAAAATTAATTGACTCTGATAAAATTTGTTTTCTAGAAGTTTGTTGAAAATTTGTTTTAATAAATTAATAATAAAAATAATAATTAAATTGAGAAAAATAATTTTCAAACGTATCTGTTTCAGTTTTTCAATGTAAAAATACCCCAATGGTATTTAATGCTATTTAAAAAAGCTGGTATTTCCAGGGTTAAAGAGTAATATAATGTGAAACTGAATGAAGAAAAGTGTGTTGTGATGAGGTTTGGGGATTATCATGTGAATTGAATAATAATAATAATAATAATAATAATAATAATAATAATAATAATAATAAAGTCATTGTTAATGATAGCGAATAATAAAACTCTTTACCCAATGTTAAGGATAAGTTTGAAGAGTTCAAAAAAGCAAAAATCAATTCAATCAACTCAAATGTGAGTGAGTGGGGTTTAAAAAGTAATATAATTATTTACTCATTTTGAGAGTTGAGTACAGAGACTTATCGACTTGTCTGTATGTTTCCGTAATAATAAATCACTAAATAATGCCCTAACACATTACATAGCGCAAGTGGCAATTTCATAAGAAAGTAGAAAAAAGATCAACAGATGGATCTATATCATATCGATACTGACGATGACAACAGACTGTATGATAATGTTTAATTATTAAATAATGAATATAAGTCAATTGGCAAAATATTCATAGAAATGTTTTTTAACGTAATGCATTGAAGTTTGATTCACAGAACTGGAGAGTGGAGAATTAGAAAGTTACTTGTCAAATTTTCAAATCAAAATCAATGACGTGGCGATAAATGAAAGCTGGTTAAACAAACAAACTGAAAGTCTGATTGGTATGGATGATTTAAAGATATGTTGGCAAAATCGTAATGATAAACAACAATAAATGATGATTTGAATGCCATTGGCTCACCAAAGTTTGAAATGTTTGCAATAGAGATCACCGACAATTCAACAGGTAAAAATTCAATTATGATTGTAACTTATTGACTATCTACCTAGGAAATTAAACAATATCTTGAAAAATTTGAATAAGTTTTAAAAAAATGATAAAGAAATAATACTCATTCACTCTTTGAGAGATCTGAACATTGATCAATCGCCAGAAATTAATAGCATAAATGAAGTTCTATTGAATCAACTTGTGACATGTTACAACCTCAATCTCATGATCACAGATCCTACAAGAATCGGTAACACAAAAATATATCATAACAAACTTTTCATAAATCATCCTGAAAGTGTTTTTCAATGTGGTACTTTTTTATGCGATCTTTCGGACCACTTACTAGCTTTTGCTTGCACTAATCAACAAATAAGTAACAAGATAGCTGCAGATGTTCCATTTTCAAAAGACTCCTATCAACTCGCAGATCTCAGTTTTTAACTATAAAAAACTTTACAAAATGAAAATAAATGATCTTGACATCAATAAAAATAAAACAGTTTAATTTTTGGGTCTTCATCTAGACCAGAAATTAACTTTTTGTGATCAGCGTTGCAAACAGACTAACTGGTCAATCTATCGGATTATTCAAGAAGGTAAAGTTCTATCTTACAAAAAATTTTTCTAAACGTGCTGTTTCAATAGATTTGCATGCAGCATGTGACCTATTGCAAGATCGTCTGGGGTACACATATCCTGTCAAACTTCAGATGAAAATAGCTACCAGAATCATCACCATGCTAACGACAGCAAGGAATTATTCACTATAACAAAGGTTATTTATCAATTAAATACTTATTTTACATTAATCTTTGTTTACAAGCAGCTTCATAATATATCGCCAACTACAGTTGATAATTATTTTAAGCATGCGAAGTAATAGGATGACAAATTAATTGCAATCAAATAAGTCTAAAATTAATGTTTAAAAAAATGTTTATAATAAAAATAGCAGTCAGCGCATTTTATCTCAACATGCCAATAAATTATTGAAACTATTGTGCGTGCAAATTAATGAAACAAATTTGAACGTTATTTACTCTTAAAGAATTTCATCAATTTATTTGGTAAAAATGTATTTGTGTTTTTTCCAATTTAATTGATATTCGTAAACAATCTGTTCTCTCGTCTCAAATTTGAATGTTTTTCAATAACGATTTTAATTTAATAGGGATTAATAGGTTACTAGCAAACTAGCAACTCATTTATTTATAGGATAAGGTTTGTTAACATCTAACAATTACGTAACATTGAACATTTATGTCTGGAATTATTAAATTTTTTAAATCTATAAAAAAAACGAGTTTACGTTGTGAAATGTTATGAATTCGCAAAAATTTTTTGTTAATGCTGTGATTATAATATTTTATGGAACGTTAGTTCAAGTTAACTACATATCTTATTTTTTATCTGCTTACTCGATTTTTTTCCATTTATTAGGCTTAACTTAAAATGTAGTTACGAATATTATTGATTTACTAACTTACTAACAAGTTTGTTATTAAAATCTACTCACTTCTAACAATTTTTGGCAATAAATACGAAACTTTGAACATTTTTACCCAGGTAACATGAGAAGCTCGATCACAATCATCCTATCTATTGTTTATCAATGTTGATAGGATTGATATGTAATAATGATGAAACTTATATATAATGATGAGACTAATAAATGATGGGATCAATATATTTTGATGTGATCGATATTCGAAACACAATAACGGTGGGATCGATGAATGATCGATCATAAAAGCATTATAGGATGATTGGATTGATATCGATATATGATGATGATAATGATAATGGGATCAATATGAATTGTAATGAGAACGATTGATGACGTTTAAATCGATATACAATTTCCTTAATAACGCTGCCCATCCTCGTACGGTCAGTTAAAAGTCAATCTAGCGATAGTAGTGCACTGTACACACATGTACACTGAAGAAAATTTGCTTGGGAGCACAATGAAAATTTTTACAAAAAAGCATTGAGCAGAACGAATTTTAAAATTTGTAAAATATTTGTTTGGCTTTCAAGATAAAATTGAGTCAAACTGAAAAAAGTAAAAGTAGATTTTGGTTGAATTAATTTAAATAAAAATAAACCGTTTATGTTATTATATAAAATCGGTAATTCTGACTTAAAAGTAAAATTTCATTCAAATTTCTGTAAAAATCAAATACATACAACTAAATTAAAATGTTAAAAGTTACTTTATCTCCTAGTGTATCAAAGAGAAGGACGTTTAAAACATCGTGAGGTCTCTGCTGTCGATGCTGAAATTGTTCATATGGGTAAAAATTGGAACCTCCATACACAATTTCGAATGCTATTGGTTTCCATTTAGCTACATGGACCAACTCCTCAAATTTGACTATCGCTTCATCACTCCATTGTTTTCCTGTGTTAAATAATTTGTTGAACGGTGCTACTAAATGATTGTTTTAAATAAAAAATTTGTTTCATAAAAAATTTGAACAAAAAAAACTATTTCAGATAAAGTCGAATGGATGGAGTTACGGTTAAAAGCGCTGGTCCAGGTCAAGAAAGATGGTAGAGTGGAAAAGAGTTTGAGTGAAAAAAGAATCAGCCAATCACACGCAGGCACGTTATTTACGTACGTTGTGTGTGCGTGTGTGTTGTTGATTGATTGGTTGATACCATGCATTGACTCAAGCCATTTATGTACGTTGTGTGTGTGTGTGTGTGTGTGTGTGTGTGTGTGTGTGTGTGTGTGTGTGTGTGTGTGTGTGTGTGTGTGTGTGTGTGTGTGTCGACTAATTTGACACCATTATATTGTTTTATATTTTAATTTTTTAAATATTGAAAAACATAAAAATGATTTATCTATTAATAATTAATGCCAGATAATAATTTTTATCTCAGTTTCATTTAAGCTGTTGGCCCCTTATAACTGAATTCTAATTACAAACATTTAAAATATTGAATTCAACAAGTAACTGATCTAATACAAAATTTAATATTTCAAGAGCAGAGAATTAAATCTCATAAATTCAATACCAATTTTCAATAATCAAATAAAAAATTAAAAAAAAACCTTTAGGCAGTACATTGTACAAAGAACATTCGATTGACTGGAAAGGTAAGACGAGATGATTTGATCTGAAAAATTTATAAAAGAATTTTTAAGTAAAATTAGAACTTTTGAAGTGTTAAAGTGAAAACATTTTAGATGATTATTAACCTGAGTGCAAAAACATTATTGTCATCAACAATCTCGTTATCACCAAAATCAACGAAGTGAAGATCGAGAAAATGATCGTCAATAATGTTAACGACACGAGCTCTGTACCAATTATCATCATGTGAAATTCGGGAGGATACCATGTCTCCCACCTCATATGTCGCACCCTGCTTCCAAAGCGTTGTCACATTGTGGGGGAAGGATATTTTTAACAATAATAAAAATGATGATTTAAACATTATGATAATGAGGATATTATTATAAGTTACACAATGACATTAACATTAAGACCATATGAAATCATAAGTATTAACGAAAAGTAAAAGTTTGACAAGATTGAAATATATTATTAAATCAACTTAAGCTCCTCAAATATATATAATAAAAAAACATACGTTAACTGGCTCGAGGTCATTATAATATTCAGTCATGGAAGTTATTAGAGAATCAAGTTCTCGCGCTCTGTCATCCAATTTCTGAATCCAAAAGTGGCCAGGATGTTCAACGGCGGACACAAAACACATGAGTTGCTGTTGTTGCTGCTGGCTTTGTGGAAGCTTAGCAACTGACTCCGTTAATACTCTTGTTTTTTTTCTTGAAATAGCTGGATGTGGCAAAAACGTCATGACTGTCAACGTAAAATCACTACAATGATGTGAAATGAAAAAATAAACCATGTAATGATAGAGATGCACCGAATAGTCGATACACGATTTTGAAAAAAATTATTTCAATGAAAAACAAGTTATGGAAGAAACAGTTGGCGAGCTGTTTTCATCTAACAATTAACCTTAAAAATATATAATTAAACACATTCAGATATCAAGCATCGGCTAACATATATAAACATTCTTAGTGCTGCTTTGTTTGTAACATAAAAATAAATGAAAGTTTATTGATAAGTCTAAATTTATACTAACAGGCTTTTGACTTTGATGAACAATCTTCATTAGTGTGAATATCGTCCAAGATTAATTTCTGTAATTATAAAAAATAAAATATACATATAACTATCGTAATAAAATATAAAATGAACAGGAAATGGAAATTAATAAATGTTGGTAAATTTGTTAACATAATAATATTTTGAAACCTTAGCAAGCATAATGGCAAAAAAACTTCCTCTCAATTCCACTTCAATGAAGTTCCTCTCAAGTTGCAGCATTTCAAACCTGTTGATGGTGATGTGCACCTTTGAGAGGTGGCTGATGGATCTTATTTTCTCACCATTGCAACCTTAAAATTTTATCATCAGTTTAAATTAAACCACCTTTTAACAAGTTGGTCAAATTTTTATGAAGATAAGCCAAAGAATATATAATATATCATCATATTAGACCAAATGTATAACATAAATATGCACACAAGTGATGACATAATGTATGAACTATATTATTATTATTATCATCATTATTACTATTATCATCATCATCATTATTATTATTATTATAACTCTTTTAAGAATAATTTATTAAGCGCTAATTAATTTCGAAAGAACTCTCATTATTAAATGAACAAAATTGCACATCAGCAGTAAACACAAATTGCACTTAATTAGCAATAGACAGTAAACGAGGTACACATCATTTTTAACGATCGCAGCTGCCGTTGTTGAAAGACCAGCCTCTCACTCCTCTCATTTAGACGTGCTCGGGCCATGAACATCATTCGAATGTTTTCGACTTTTAACAGAGATAAAACTTTCTTGTTCATTGTCATCAGTCTTTAATATATTCGGATTATTAACATTATTAATGCAACAAACGACGTTTTCAGCGTTTTTAAAACTTGCTTGAGTTAACTTTTCGTCTGCCTTTCCAGCTTGTTTACGGTAGCTGGTGTAAAAACTGCACAACAGTCTCGTTGTATGTGAGATGTACTTCCTCAAAAGGTCGCCATGTTTCATTAACAAACCATATATGGTTTCACGTTGACCACCGAATTCCGAGTTTAGACTCCAGAGACAAAAACGTTTAACAATTCTTTCAAATCTAACGGTAATAAATTGCAAAATCTTTGTTTCACAATCCGTTTTAAAATTAAGTTAACACCATTAATAACTCAACAAATCCACATTTCTTGTCCAGATTAATCGGAAGGTCAAATGAAACTATCTTTGCTTCTTGAATAAAAATATTTTCGGCCGATTCATTTTTTAAGTCCTCAACTTTAAAACTATCTATCAATGGTAGAACACATCTGTACTGTACGTATATCGCCTTCAAAATTCCCGATGAAACTTATGAAATCGTTCAAAATAAATTTGTCATATCACCTTCAAAATTCCATATAAAACTTGTGAGATCGGCTCAAATTAAATTTGTCAGTTATCTTTCAAGAAAACACACGCACATAAGCAAATCTACACATTCACGTTCAAACACGCACACACAGGCACATAAATTATTATTATTAGGGAATTTATAGTTTTTATTGACACACATGTAACTGAAACATAACTCTTCGTTCATTAGAGCTGTGTGAGTGAGCTAGATGAGTTCTTATACGAACTCTAATATGGACATCCTGCCTTCTTATTTCTTAATTTCAAGGAGCAAATAAAATTTTATTTCATTTCAATGTATACTTTAACCTCTCAACGAACTTTTACAAGTTGCTTAGTTTTAATAAATCCATGTAAAATGTGAGAGCACTTGTTTTTACAAAACTCTGATAATTAATGGAAAAAACTGTTTCGTTAATAATAATGAAGATAATGATCAGAAAATTGAAAAGACTGAAACCTAATAATTTTTTCACAGCATATTTTGGAACATATATTGCCTCAGCAACTATTGGAGACTGTTGATTGATTGCTGATCGAAGAAGAGATTCGGCTTGTTCGACGCATTCCTCAGGCCCTTCAATCAGCAATCTTCTCTCTCCACTCTCATTCATTTTCTCAGAGAAATATATTTTCGTTCCAGTTTTCTCTTGAACCTGCAACATAAACGGAATGCATTGGGATGGATGTATGTACGGTATTTATGGATTGATGTATGGTACTGAGATGGACTGATGTATGATAAAGGTATGGACTGATGTATGGTACTGGGATGGATTGATGTATGGTACAGGTATGAACTGATGTATGGTACTGGGATGGACTGAGGTATGATACTGGGATGGACTGATGTATGGTACTGGGATGGACTGATGTATGGTACTGGGATGGACTGATGTATGGTACTGAGATGGACTGATGTATGGTACTGGGATGGACTGATGTATGGTACTGGGATGAACTGATGTATGATAAAGGTATGGATTGATGTATGATACAGGGATGGACTGATGTATGATATTGGGATGGACTGAGGTATGATACTGGGATGAACAGATGTATGGTACAGGTATGAATTGATGTATGATACAGGGATGGACTGATGTATGATACAGGGATGGACTGATGTATGATACTGGGATGGACTGATGTATGGTACTGGGATGGACTGATGTACTGTACAGGTATGGATTGATGTATGATACAGGGATGGACTGATGTATTATACTGGGATGGATTGATGTATGATACTGGGATGGACTGAGGTATGATACTGGGATGAACTGATGTATGGTACTGGGATGGACTGATGTATGGTACTGGGATGGACTGATGTATGGTACTGAGATGGATTGATGTATGCTACTGGGATGGACTAAACCATCTTTCAAAGATATAAATATTTCAAACGCTAAAAACGACAACAAAACAATAATTCAATGTGACCTAATGAGAAAAAAATAATTAAAAAAGTCAACTAACCATCTTTGTATGATGTCCTTGCAGACCGACAATTTTAGTAATTAATTCACTGGGTAAATCTATATTTTTTGTTATATTTAGATTAACCATGAATAATTTTTTCTTCTTTTTTATTTCCCTATAATTTATGTCCTCATCTGTGAATGAAAAATGCAAACATTAATATCTTGAAAAATCTTAAAAGCTTATTAGCGAAAAAGATATTAGAAATGCCCAAAAATCTATTAAACCATTTTAATTTTTGACTGTGGCAAAGTATTCATTACTTATCAATAAGGAACTATTAAAACGCTGATAAAGCAGTGTTCTTGGTAAAAATTTATTTCATTTTATTACTCACCGCATACCGACTTGTTATAATAAATAAAAAATGTTACAGTCACCACCATTAAAAGATTTAGATGTGCACAAACATGTGAATTTACTTTCAAAACTTTAAATCAAGTTGGCTAATGCTAAGAAAAGAAAAGCAGTCGATAGATGGTTTAATCATTCATCTATGTGCATTTGAAAAAGAAATGATGTCCACTGACATGATTCAAAATTCAACAAGGATGCTTTAGTTGTTAGTGTTGATAAAAAGTTTCAACAAAATCAAAAAGTTCAGTAACAAGGCAAAACCAGTCGGAAACTGCAATTATTGCCACAAAACAGGACACAGGGTTAAGCAGTGCAGAAAGTGGATCAGTGATAGAAACCATCTAATAATTTTAAATCTCTGGTGCAGCGGCCTTCTCGTGGTGGAGCCGATTGGATCGACTGTTGGAGTCAAAACTTTCAGATGTTCCAACAAACTGCTGCAACTCCGCATTCCAACCTGGATGTTCAAATCGGGTTTTCGTCATCGGACCAGTCCTTCCCGGCCGGTCTGCTCTGCTTCCTCTTATTAAGAGCCGGAATCAAGTCAAATCCAGGCCCAAAAATCTGGATTTGCCCCGCTTGCAGCAAGAGGATCAACAAGACCCAATTTTCGGTCCGTTGCAAAACCTTCTGCAACTAGTTCCATTTAGACAAATGCATCAACAACAACGGTTATTACCACTGTGATAACTGTCCACACCAGTCCACAGACACGAATAGCTCAAAGGTGCCAGATGTTTCACTACAGCGGCCATCAACAACAATTAACAGCTCGAGCTCACAAAAAAAAACAGACATAGTTTTCAGGGACTAAGCATTGTATCGAAAAGACAGCGCGAACGGACGAGGTGGTGGTTTAATCATGCTTATCCACCACAGCATTCCTTACACCTTCAAAGCTACACCTAACCTCGCAACAATGAAGAGTCAAGCCATCACGATTAAAATAAACGGCGAAGATATCAACATCGTAAACATCTACATCCCTCCTCAATCAGTTTGCCCTCCTGGTTTCACAGCCTCCCTATCAACATTTCTAGACATCAAGAACGTAGTATTGCTTGGTGACATGAACGCCCAAGAAGCGCTCTGGCACTCAAGCCTAGAGGATTCATGAGGAGAATCCCTGGCCTGGAAAATCAAAATCTCAGGCTGCGGCACGCTCAACAGAGATACTCCAACCCGTTTACCTACAACCGGTTAACCATCGTCACATGATATCTCCGTCGCATCATATTCCTTAATCGCAGGTATAGATTGGTCAACAGTGACAGCTCTCTCATCAGGTCACCTCCCGATCCACATTACATCCACAGCAGATGGTCAACTTATTCAACAAACAGTTTACTGTAACTAATCGTCATCGTCATGCATCCAACAAATTTAATAGAATCACTAATAGAACAATCAAGAAATTAACACTTTATCATCCGACCCTCACACCAGATCAGGTTTCAGCAGCAATAAAGCACTCAGAACCAGAACCCAAAGCCTCAGAACCAGACCACCTGACAATCATTCACCTTAAAAATTTAGGCCATACAGGAATTTCCTTCCTAACCAAACTATTTAATGAATCTCTGCGAACCTGCAGAATTCTGGACATATATAAAAAAGCGAAAATAATCCCTCTCCTTAAACCCGGCAAACCAGACAGCGAAGCAAAATCATACCGTCCTATATCACTACTATGACCGGCCGTAAAGGTACTTGAAAAATGCCTGTTGCCGCAAACCACCAACATGGCTTCCGCCTTTATCACTCAACAACCTCAGCACTCACCCTGATTGTCACCGATATTGCAAATGGCCTCAATCAAAACAGACCAGCTCATCGCACAGTCCTCAAGCGCTGGACCTCACAAAGGCATTTGATACGGCAATCATCAAACCCTGTTGTCCGACTTCTATCATCATCGCTTTCACGGTCAACTGTCCGATGACTGTCAAACTATCTGCATAGACGCACAGCCATAACAAAGTTCCGACATCAACACTCCAAACAACGTATCATCCGATCAGGAGTGCCTCAGGGTATAACAACAAGTAACTCAGTAACTATTGCGAAAAACGTATTTCAAATGGTATAAAAAATACGAAAAAAATATGTGTTGACACGCGCTCATGAAAAAATGTAAGCATTTAAAATTTGAATGTCATACAAGGAATTAAGAATTTTCAAACTCAATAAATTAGCAACAAAAAACTGACTAAGTTGAAAGTAACCTCAAAAAGATAAAATAAAACAATGTGAAAGGCAAAATAATTATGTCCACGTTAAACTTAAATATTCATCCCAAAAAATCAATTTATTTCCCACAATGAGAGATAACTGTATCATATAAATAAAGCACTAACCAACAGAAAAAACTTAACAATAAAGATTAACATAACTCTAACGAAAGATATACGAAATTAGTTTCTATATCCACTAGGAAAAATTTGAACGGAGTAAACATAAACCGAATGATAACGTATTTATGGAGAATTTGCTGCTGTATGCAGCAAAGACTACTAGGCATGTAATGTACATTCATCTGAGTAATATACATTCATTTATGTTTATGTTATTATGATTGAAAATGATATGCTTTATTCATATCTATTTCGTATATGCAGAAATATTCATTTCAATTTTAAATAAATACCATGCTTTTCATTTCACCGGTAAATTATGTAATAACGAGTAAACCAAACACAAAACTAAACAAATAAGCCACTCATATAACTTAAAGTGTTTAAATGCTCGCCATGTAACAATGTTTTTAAAAACCATTTAAAAATGTTTTTTTTATCTCAAAAATAAAACTTTTAAAGAATGAGGAACACAATTTTCTTTAAAATTAGAAACACATATTGTACTGAATATTTTGTTTCAAAACACCTCAAATTAAAATCCGAGTTAATTTTATAAAATTAATGAGCTAGGTAACAGACAGACAGGCATAAAAACAAAGTCCAAATAAGTTAAAAAACAAAACTAAGAAAGGTTGAATTCAATCAAAAGAAGTTACAATAAAAACAAATTCATGTTTTTATTTTTACGTGAACCAGTGTTATCATATTGTTGCAACTCCTTCACCTCGTAACTACCAACACCGATATTATAACATCAATAATCTCTATAATTTCAACACCAATGTTGTAGCTTCCAACGATTGTCAAGAGTTCGTTTATCCGTAGGTTCTAGATTTCGGATAGATGAACACAACTGCTTCATACGCAAACTTTGTTGAACGTTTAGTTGAATACCAACAGTAATAGGGTAGAGCGTTCCATTACAAATAAAAAGGACCGAAAAATAGGCTTTTGTCAATCTGTACACATTCTGAAGTCAATATCAGAATAATGGTCGGCTAGTTGATAAGGATAACCTTGAAAAGCTTACGGAGGGTCTAATAGGTAAACTCAATTTGCAACAGGGAGATCTTTCAAAAGCCGAAAATAATAGCGTAGTTTTCAGATGTATTTTCAACTGAAGACGATAATCAAAGAAAAACGGGCCTTGTTATTCATCGGATTAATACTCAGGACTCGAAGCCAATCAGACAAGTACCACTCCGTCTTCTACTAGCTTAGCAAAAAGAGGTAAACGATATAACTACAATGCTAAACCAAGCTGTCATCGAACCGTCAACTAGTTCTTAGACCTTGCCAGTTGTCCTAGTAAAGAAAAACGGCAACACCCGCTTTTGTATGGAAAACAGAAAACTAAACAAAGTGACAAAGATAGTTATATAGATAGTTAGATAGATAGTTGGCTCAACCAGGTA